GGGGGGGGGGGGTACACCACAACTCACCTGTTTTTTTTGTTTGAAGGATCAAAAGGAAATTTCATTAAATTGAAAAAAGGAATTACATCCCAACACCATTGGTTGTCAAGTTGACACACCAAATACACACTGGAAATCAAACTGAAAAGGAGTCTTCATTACAAGGCTGTAAATCAAGGGTATTCCAGAATCTTTCCAACAAATCAGCTTTGGATACTTGATCAAAATCTGGAAGTCTAAGGATCCAGTCTGAAATCAGATTGCTCACTGCAGCTACCAGATATTCAATGCTTTTTGACCTGTTCTCAAAAACCCTTCTGTTTCTCTCCTTCCAGATAGACCAGCAAACTGCAAATGGAACACAGCTCCAGAGAATCCTAGCTCTCTCTTGCTGCCTCTGAGATTTGGCCATTTGGAGAAGATCTCTGCTGGAAACATTGGTTGGAAGACACTCCTCCAAATAAAAAGGAAAAGAACTTCCAAATGAAGCTTGCTCCACTACATGAGAAGAACAAGTGGGCTGTTTCTTCCTCCTGATTACACAAATAACACCAGCTGGCCAGATGCAATCCCCTAGACTTCAGGTGTTCAGAAGTGAGGATACTGTCATGCACCACCTACCAGGCAAAGGCTTCTACCCTTGTGGGGGCTAGGTTGCCCTACACTCCATTTATCTGGTCTGATCCCATTCCTTCTCTTAATAGTGCCTTGTAGAATGACTTAACAGTGAATCTGCCTTCTCTACATTCTTTCCACCATATACCCTCTTCTGTTGACCTAGTAATGCTGGTCCCTTATAATTTTTCCAATAGCATAATGCACTCTTCCACTTGGTCCAAAAGAAGCTTTATGAAGTTCGGATTCCAAATCAGTTGCACCCCTCTCCACACCTCACCCTAGTGCATCTCAACTGGCTTTTGGTCATGCTTTGATGAGTTAACTTTGGATTTGATGTTCCAAACTTTCAATATCTAATGTACCATATTGTAGATTGTAGCTATGATGTTAGAGCTTAAATAGTTTAACCTATATAAGTCTTAGACCTATAAGGCTAGAGTTTACATGTCAATTACTTAATGCTCTAACCAATTGAGCTATTATAATTTTAGAAATATGGCATTTTGTTCTGGCACACATTTCACCTTGCACCTTGTACCTTACCTTACACCCCAAGCTCTAAGAACCCCTTGTGTTTTATTGCTTCATTTCTTTTAGAACACTAGAAAGAAGGGAGTGGAGTTATAATCTTTGTTTGAGGGTGTATTCTTCATATTCATACTTTCATATGCCAAAAATATTGATAATTGTTTATTTTTAGATATATTTTTTTTCCTGAAAGGAAGTGATATAGGAGCTGACATGTCAGATCTGAGATTTTCTAAATATATATTGATAGGTAGTGTGATTATTGTTGTAAAATTTTGAAGCTTTTTTTGAGTCATTAATAGTTTTCCTAACTGGTTAAGAGTTATTTTAGTCATTCTGAATTCTTATATTTTTTTTTTGGGGGTAAACAGTCAGTCAGAGTTATGTTGGTAGGCCATGATCATGGTCATAATTCAAGCTGGATTTGTTTTATTCCTAGTCCTAAGCCAACTAGAATTTGTCTTAAGTCAAAGCCCCAGTTGTTAGCCAACTAAGATTGGTTCTATTCCTAGTTGGTACCTTAGTAGCATTTCTTAGTTGATTTTGGAGTAGGAAAACAAGGGAGAAGGACTAGCCAACCTTCCTGTCTTTGCCTATAAATATATGTAAGGCCCTCTCATTTTGGCATTAGATTATAACATTTAAATTCTTTACATTCAACATTGCGAGCAAGTCTAATTCTCTTGATGGTACTGATTCCTTCTAGAAGCTATTAGTTGCTGATTCCTAATAGTATCTCTAAGTGCCGACTCCTAGAGAAGCCTAGGTGCTGATTCCTAGCCTTATTTTCTTTTTCTTATTTTGCAGATCAATCCTGCATTACTTGGTATCAAAGTAGTTAGTCCCTCATTAAGAATTAATCTGCACTTCCATGAAAATGCACAAAGTTCATCAAAAGATGTTGGTTTGAGTCATTTGACACATTTTCTCATCCTTTCTTTTCAACATCAGGTAATAAAGGTTGAGTGCCTTACTTCTAATATTGTAAGTTATTCTAATTTTCTTGATGGTACTGATTCCTTCAAGAAGCTATCAGGTGTTGATTTCCGAAAGTACCTCTAGGTTCTGACACCTAGGGAATCCTAGGTTTTCTTTCTCTTATTTTGCGGGTCAAACCTGCATTAATGTGCACTCCCTTATTCCAAATAACAATCTTCTCTTCCATGAAACAGCACAAAATCAATCAAAAGATTTTGGTTTTGACTCATTCCTCATCCTCTTTGTGTGCTATATTGAGCTATTATAAGACTCATATTGACTTGGAGTTGAATCTGAGCTTGGATGTATGGAAATCATTAGATCTTTAAAATAAGAATGATGTTAGAATCTGAGTACACGAGATGAAAAGCTACTCAGGGTTTCTGAATTTTTTGATATCTTGTCTCAAAATGTTAGTCTGAGACTGAGTACTCACCATTCTTGCATTTTCTTTTTCTTCTTTGGTATTCTATGCTTAGTTTAACAAGATTTAAGTAGGAAAGTACTTGAAACCAATGTGTAGGTAAAGTGACTTGCTCTATTTCAGTAGATATCGCAAAGGGGAATTATGGAACTGTAGGCCACCAATAATGCAGATATTGCACTTCTTATTTTCAACATCAAGATCTTAAGAAATATATTATTCCTGTAAGTAAGATAAAAGAGTATCATTATGTTAAGGAATGATTATTCTTGCCCCCTTCCTCTTTATGTACTTATTTGTATATATTTCTTTAATTTGGAATTGAAAGAATACTATTGCTCCCTTTCCAGAACTTGTATCAATAGCAATATGCCAATCAAGGCTTGAACACCTTCCTCTTCTAGTACATTCTCTTTTTCTTCAAAGACAAGTTTTGCTTCACAACAAAAAATGGTACCAAATAATTAAGAACTTAAAAAGTCAAAAAGAAGAATACAGTCATTTGCAATTCTGGTGTTTCTCTGTAACATCTACAATGGGCTAAATTTTCTAGGATAGCCCTGACTTTGGCCTTATTCCTAAGCTTCTAGCTCTATATTTGTTGCTAAGGCCTGCCCACAAGCCAATGTCAAGATAGATATTGTTTCTTGTGTTTGTTCAGGAATTTAAGGACTTGAGGCCTGGCTTTTCCCAAAATATGCTGATTCAATAAATTTCCAATAAATTGAATGCTCAAGCATAGAATTGAACTCTACCACTGATCCATTTTATTTCAATTTGCTTTTTTCTGACATGGTTCTTCCATAACAGGTACTACTGCTTATTGGTTCCCCTGACACTTCCTGTGCTTGTGATTGCTGTATATTTCCATTGGTTGAGCATGAAACTTTTCAAGCATGCATGAATTATTCATCCTCTTTGGGTTAAGAACTTGTAACTGGGAAAGTTTTGAATATATGCCATGTTTAATGTTGGCTTCTCCATTCTGGTATAAAGCCAAGTACCAGCATTACATTTGTGTATTTTTAATACCAAATTACCAATAAAAGCTTCTAGTCACCTCTCCTGGATACGTCCATTCAAATTTGTGTGGTAGGTTTCTGGTCGGGAGTGATGAGATGCCCTAACGCCTAGAACTAATGAAGATACAGATGCTTCTACTTTCTATTGTTAGGTCTGCATTTCTATTTGATGTGAAATTCCTTAACTTTCCGATTCTCTTATTTTCTATTAAACCAAACACAACCTTAAGTTTGAAGTATTCAATTACATTTCTGGCGGAAACTACTGTTTAAAGGGCGGTATGGTAAGTTATTCTATTTGCTGTAGGCCTGTACCCCATATAAATTCGCTTCTGGTCATCCTGTGTCTTGTCATCGTAGAAAACATGGGAAGCTTCATGTATTTGCTGTAGCCCAAGAGTTTTCATTCCAACTGGGTTAGATCAAGAAAAAGTGGTCCATGTACTGTTATTTTTGATGCAGGTCTTGGCTACTTTTGGTTGACTTGGGACAACCATGGGTTACAACATCTCCTATAGTCTCACTAAATGGCCCTGTACCGTACTAATGGTTTGATAAATTGGTCCAAAAATTACTAGCATGAACAGATCATCAATCTTTTTCACAACAAAAAGAGGAAAGAAAAATTAATCGTGGATTGACAACGATCTACTCAAAAACACATCTTGAGTAGACTCTTAATCCAACCTATTACCAAAAAGGGAAAAACCAACCCCTGATCTTTGACTCATTGGAGTAGAGACCTGGGATCAAATCCCAACCTTGGATTACCTCCTCAAGTGACCTTATCACAAACTTTGGATGGGTACCATAGGTACCCTGAACTTTCAATTACAACACTTTGAGTACTTTGAACTCTCAAAAATAGACATTTAGTTCATCCGTTAGTATTCTTTTAGTTAAACATTATATAATGCCAAAAATGCCCTTCTAATGTATTTTTAAAGTCATTCTCAAATCTCAAGTAACCAAATGTCTCCCCACGATGATGTTCTCACATGGACAATAAATAACATTTTCAAAATTTCTAATGATGACATTCTTTGATGATGATTTTACTTTGTAGAATGATTTCAAAAATATACGAGAAGGGTATTTTTGATATTATGTAATGTTTAACCGATGGAATACTAACGGATGGACCCAAGTGTCTATTTTTTAAAGTTTAGGGTACTCAAGTGTTGCAATTGAAACTCTAAGGTACCTATCTATAGGGGTGGCCGTGAGCCAAGTTTCTCACGAGTTGTCCAATCTTAGTTTGTGAAAAGGTTGGCTCGGCTTGGTCTAAATCGAGCTTCGAGTTGAACTTGAGCCTAATATAGTCTCATTTGCTAATCGAGCCGAGCTCAAGCTTAATAAAGCTCGGTTCGTGAGGCTTGTGAGACTAATCGAGTATATATGTATATAGGGTGTCACCTTGGCCACTAAGGGAGACCTTGGCTCAACACCTTGGCAACTGAGGGAGACCTCGGCTTGACACCTTGACATTTGAAGGAGACCTCAGATTGGCACCTCAGCAACAAAGGGAGACCTTGGCTAATAGGGAAACCTCAGCTCAATACTTCAATAGCTAAGGGAGACCTCAGCTCGGCATTTCAGCAGTTGAGGGAGATTTGCAATCAAAGGCAGCCAAGCTCGAATTTCTGAACTTTTTACTTGAGCCAACCTCGAGCTCAAGTCTCTAATTCGAATCGAGTTCGAGCTCGAGCTTGATAGTTTATGAGCGAGCCGAACTCGAATAGCCAGGTATTCGGCTTGACTAGTCTCGAATCCACCCCTACCTATCTGTCACTACCCCCAAAGTACAAAGTACCTATTTGTATTTTACCCTTCTTTTTAATAGTTCTTTCATATGAGCTACTGTGGTAAGGATGTACCAAAAAAGTGAAAAAAGTGGTAAGAGTTAACTTTGGCTGTTGTGGGTCAACAACCTATGCTGTTGAGAGCATTTTTATGTTGGACACGTTCACCAATTCACAAGAAAAACTTTGGTTGTTGGCTATGCTGTTGGGAGCGTTTCTGGAGATGCCACGTTACTATGACAGTGGACAAATTAGTAATTGCCTTCTATTTTATTTTGACCAAAATGAAAGACATGGGCGTGAATAGGTGAACGTGTCCACTCTAAAAACGCTGTTGGTTCCCAACAGCCAAAGCTATCTCCATTCACGCCCATGTCTATGTTTATTGTTAAAAAGAAATAGGGAGTGATTACTATTTTACCCCTTTATGTAACATGGCATTTCCAAAACTGTTCTCAACATCAGGGCTGTTACTCCAACATGTGCTGGGTCAGAGAAGGCTTTAGTCACAAGTTGCTGTGTCCGATAGTGTGGCCGATAGCCCCATGAGGAAAAAAATAGAAAAAGAAAAAAGAAAATAAAAAAAGAAAAATATAAGCCCAAGCCTGGAAATTCCTGGGCTGGGCCAGGCTAGAAATGATCAACAATAACCGGTGCTGATGCAACTGTAGAGTCATGTTCCATGTGCACAATGATGTTTTACACATAGCAGATCTGGACTCAAGTGGGATGGTTTATTCATGGTTCAAAGTATCGATACGATATGCTCGATATGGGGCGTATTGTATCATATCTTTTGAAAAAGATACGGTCCGAAACGCCTATTTTCAAGTGTTTCGGACCCCCAATTTTTTTAATAATAAAAAACATACTAAAAACTTTCTAAAAAACCAAAATTTAAAAAGATAGAGTTTTGGCCGTTTCTATGTACCGATGTGATACGATAAAAGGGCCTACCCTGTCGGGGCCAAGAAATTATTATTATTATTATTATTATTATTATTATTATTATTATTATTATTATTATTATTATTATTATTATTATTATTATTATTATTATTATTATTATTATTATCTATGAAGTTACGGTCGCCTTATGACGACATCTCCAAAGAGGGTTTTGCAATCCGGCTTATTTCTCTCTATGGCCAATCCAGCATGTCCGAGCATGCCTGCAGGACGTTCGGTCAATTACCTGAATTAAAATGCACACGCACGGTGAAATCCTTCAACGCCCTCCTCTCGGCTTGTGCCGATTCTAGGAATTTCGATAAGGCTGATCAGATTTTCCGTGAACTTCCGTCGAGATTGTCGATAACCCCGGATCTTTTCTCCTACAATATTATGATCCGGGCTCTATGTGACAGGGGATCGTTGGATTCTGCGCTTTCATTTCTAGATGAGATGGAAAAGAATGGTGTTGGCCCGAACCTGATTACTTTCAACACCCTTCTGAATGCGTTCTACGGGATAACCGGTTTTCTGATGGTGAGGAGAGTCGGGTTAGAATGGAAAAGAGCAATTGTGTTCTAGATGTCCAAAGTTTTAATGCTAAGCTGCGGGGCCTTGTTCTTCTAGGAAAAACATCGGAGGCGGTTAAGTTGCTTGATGAGTTGAAGACTAGGGGAGTGAAAACTGATATCTTTAGTTTCAATGCTTTATTTAAAGGGTTTTGTAATGAAGGGAATTTAGAAGAAGCCAAGAAAATTTACAGTGAATTGTCACTTTCTTATCTCAGGCTTCATTACTTTCACTTCTGCCAAAACACTTAATGAGGATAGCAGGAGTCCCAAAACTGACTGTTAATGTATCAGCACATCTTGTCAATTGGGTATGCGTGCTATTTCCATTTGAAAATCTAGTTAATTTCACTTTCAGTTTGTTGATGTTATTCCTATAGATTATTTTGACTCCTTAGTCCTTATGGATGCTTATGTATATCTGCAGTTCCATGATAACTTCCATCTTAAAGGCCCAAGCAGTTCAGATTTAGATAGATCCTTTAAGTCTACCCTTGCCCATGCTCTTGAAACATGTACATATTAAATTACTGAATTTTATAGTTTATCTACTTATGAAGAATATCAACCTGGCCCAAGCAGTAGTTAGTTTTGGGCATATTGGAATTTGGCATTTGGCATCCAGAACAGACATGTATTTTGGGTATTGGGTATTGGGAATTCGAGATTTCATGTCTTTTGTTTTTAGTTCTTCAATCACAGACACGTGTAATAAGATAAAAAAAAATAAACATGGCTTGTTTTTAGCAAGGTTTAAAATGTCGATGTCGATGGAAATGTCGCTTACCAAAATATAGGACATATGTTGGAAATGTCGAGGGGAAATATTGTAAAAATTAGAGACATTGTGGAAATATTATGAAATATGTGGAAATATGCAA